AGAGAGAGAGAGAGAGAGAGAGAGTGAGAGAGAGAGAGAGAGAGAGAGAGAGAGAGAGAGGGTGAAGAGAGGGAGAGAGGGGGAGAGCGAGAGAGAACGGAAGAGGAATATAGAGGACGAGGTGTTCTTTCTCTACACCACGCGTATACGTGAGAGTAAAACATTTAACGCTACACAATTACGCAGTTCATGGCTAGCTGATCACGAACGGCTGTTATAACGCAAACGCAAAGAAAAGCTGCAATAATTCTTATACAAAACCCATATTTTTTTATTTCCTATCTCGCGAAAGGACTTCTCCTTCCTTCCTGCCGCCAACATTTCTTACATATGATACACGAGCAACACACACGTGTCACGCAGCTGTGAAATACTTCTTCTCTCGCTATCAGTGCCATAGCATGCCAGTCGGTGTGTGTGTATATATATACCTGTACTACTACCACCGAGTGTACACCAGCAAAGCAACGAACGGGTTACAGATAGATATATAGATACATCTGAGGGAAGACTGTAACAGACGTCTACAGAGAGACAGATACCGGGTGAAACCCTTAACACAATATACCAGCATCGCATTCGGTCAGATGGCAGCAGGATTACACAGTAACACGTTTTATATAGTTTAATCCTGGTGAGAAGGAGTTGGACACTTTGTCGTTACACACCTTACACTGGTCACGGACAGAGAGAAACACACCGGCCAAACCGTATTCTTCACTGCCTTACATCATGGTTCGTGACCCGCACGCGAGTTTTTAAATCGTAGGATGGCGACTGAAGATTGATAAATTATTCGTGCTTTAATACCCTGCACCTAACCCTAACCCTAATCAGTCACCATCCTACGTCACCATCAGTTACCGTCCAATCTTTCAGTCGCCATCCTACGATTTAAAAACTTACGACCCGCACCCCGTTAACGCGTCGGGAAAAATAGATGGCGCCACATTTCGGTGACACCAATTCAGCCCCCCCCCCACACACACAGACACATCATGTAGACACGTAGCAATTTCGCGGGCACATAGCTCCAGCGAGAGAGGGTTATAAAAATATATAAATAAAGCATATTGCATAACAGAATGGCATGTTGACACCGCATCGCCAGTCCAGTTTGATAGGGAATCATTCCGTGCGGATTTCTCACCGAGTTTATTACGCAATCGAACATTATACATCCTAATGTTTTTTCCTATAACAAGAATTCCTCCTAACGGGGAATTCATTACGGGCACTTTATTTTCATTTCATCATTGCCCGGCAGACAGCGCTTGTATCGTTTTAAACATTAAGGCTGTAACCTGGGTTAAGCGCGCGTCACTAGGAACCTAGAGTACCTTCACATAGAAGTGTTCTCTACATAAAGGAACTCATATAGCAAACCGAATAGATATTGTTTACATAATATTTGTTATAGAATAAACAATATCTAACCGGAAATGAAGAAAATCGCGGCGCACACACTAGCCGATCACATCTGGTTAGTACGCAGAAGCATTTGCAAATCATTATCTCATTTTAATAGGAGTGATTACGTCACCGTAAATGGTAAAAATAAAAAAACTATTTCCACTTTTTCACAAAATTTAAGTAATTTTGTTCCCTTTTTATGGTTAAATTGCTGTATTATACTTCCTATTTTACTATATTGTTCGATGTAAACATACACTCGTGACACATCCAGCAAGCAATTAATGTCAGGATCATAATATCAAATCGTCCAGGTTTTTTGGATTTTTAACTAGTTGAGAAACAATCTTATCAGGTACGAATTTGACTATACGTTTAGTCCCGTTAGTACTTACTTTTAATGTAAAAAATGGCAACAATTTTTTTTACAAATATACACCATAGAAAATTCGTGACGTAGTCAATTTAAGATAATAGACAACCTAACAACTTTAGTTGCTACTGCTCACTGGCAAAGCTGGAAAGCGGCCAAAACACACACACACACCAAAAACACGAGTCGTTACAGATTCAGCAATGCAACGCAATTTCCGGTCAAGATCCTGGACCCGAAATTCAATATTATTTTTTTTTAATACCAACTTCTTGTTATTTAGTAATAGTAATACTGTGCACTGTCGTGAGTTGTTTCCGTCGAGAGAAACAAACAAACACACAAACAGAACGCGGTGTAGTGGCGGTGGTAGCATCATGAATAAACATCACGGTTAAATTAGTGAATCCCTATTTTTCGAGTTGCAATTAATTTCTTCTGTAGTTGTGATCATCTCACCACTGCTCTCTCGCCTGCGCAAGTGCTCGATGACGTCACACGTCACGAGGTTATAAACATGTTATATAAGCAACGGCCCACTGGTCTTGCTTAAGCAGCAGCGGCCAACTTCATACAACTGCAGAAAACAACGATGCTCGGATTGTTCGCGTGGAAATGTCTTCACAGACTCGTGTGGGCATGCGCACACGCATGCGCTCGAATGCATACGTATAACGATCAATATATGAACTCACAGCCGTGGACACAAACCCATGCACACGCACTCACGTACACGCACACGCGCGTGCGCGCATACACACACGCACACGCGTACGCGCACGCACACACACACACGCACGCACGCACGCACGCACGCCCACACACACACGCGCGCGCGCGCACAGCTAAACTCTCTCTATTGCCTCTCTGGGTCCCTGGACCAGCAGTTGCAGGTAGAGAACCGATGCATGCATGCCAACAATTGCCAACCTCTCCCTTTTGCAAACAATCTCAGCTGCGCTGCGATGCTCAGAACAGAGCCATATATAGAGGGCGCCATGACGGTGCAGTGAGAATACGTACTCCTAGCAGTGACATTCGCTCATTTGTTCTTGCTATAAGAATCGTGTTGGCACTTCCTCGCTGAATGGCTTCAGAGGTCATTGCCATCCCCTCCTGAGGGCATGCAAGCACGCGAGCGTAATCACTACAGCTTCGATCAACCGATGACGATGACGATAATGACGACGACACCACTGATTAAAATCTGAGTCTGTCGCATGCAGCCGGCAATGACGACGACGACAACGCGTGGTGACACGCACGATGACGACGATGACAACGCGTGGTGACACGGACGATGACGACGACGAGAACGCGTGGTGACACAGACGCCGACGACGATGACAACGCGTGGTGACACGGTTGATGACGACGACGACAATGCGTGGTGACACACACGATAACGACGACGACAACGCGTGGTGACACAGACGATGACGACCAAGACAACGCGTGGTGACACGCACGATAACGACGACAACGCGTGGTGACACGGATGATGACGACCAAGACAACGCGTGGTGACACGGACGATGACGACGACGACAAGGCGCGGGGGCGACGACGACAGACAATGTTATAGAATTTCGAAGAGTTTCTTCAGGTCGATGATCAGCTGCCAGTCGGTCTTCTGCACGTCGTCTCGGAAATACTTCTTCAACGTGTCGATGGACTCTCGCGTGATCTGCAATATATTAATATCGATATAAAGATATATATATAAACACACGCACGCACGCACGCACGCACGCACGCACGACAAGCACACACACACACACACACACACACACACACACGCTATTATGTAAAGCGCACCGATGAGAGAGCAGAGAGAGAGAGAGAGAGGAGAAGAGACGAGAGAGAGAACCAGGAGATGATGGAGAGAGAGAGTGAGATTGAGATTTGAGAGGGCGGGGGGGGGGGGGAGGGGGGGAGAAAAGAGGGCAAGCGAGCAAGAACCGAGGAAAGAGAGGAAGAATAAGAGAGACAGAGAGAGAGTGAGAGAGTGAGAGAGAGAGAGAGAGAGAGAGAGACCGAGAGAGAGAGAGGGCGCGCACGAGAAAGAGAGAGAGCGAGAACGTGAGAGAGGGCGCTCGCGAGAAAGAGAGAGAGAATGAATGAGAAAAGAATGAAGGGAAAGAGGAGACAGGGGGAGACAGGGGAAGATAGATGGAGGGAAAGAGGGGGGGAGAGAGAGGGAGAAAAGATAGAGCGAGAGAGAGGAAGAGAGAGGGTGGACGAGAGGAAACGAGGTGCTGAGAAGCACAGAGCAGAGGAGAGAGAGAGACAGAGAAGAGAGAGAGAGAGGAGAGAGAGATAGAGGAGAGAGAGAGAGAGAGACGATGACGAGAGAGCAGACGAGACGAGACGAGAGATACGAGACGAGAGAGAGAGAGAGAGAGAGAGAGAGAGACAGACAGAGAGACCTAACGCACACCTGCTGGCACGCAGACACGCACACGGAGACAGCAAAGGCAAGCAGAGCCTCGAGGCAAGGAAACAGATTTTGGGGAGTGGAGATTTTCCGCTTACTGAACAAAGTCATTCCGACAAGGAGACAAAGCTGCCTATTTGTACTTTCTGCACCAACGACAAAAAACCCAAACAATGCTATACAAATCCCCAACGGTTGTGCAGAGGAAACGGGAAAAACGGAAAAAAAACATGATATATGGCCAGCTTGTATATCTGCGACCCAGTGCCTTATTGCAGTAGGTGGTACAAAAGACTAAGTGCCAGCCACTGTTACAACGAGCGACCCGGTGTGTCTATGGTTCACCCACGGTCTGTATCTCCCGCCCACTGTCTTCTTCTCCCACACACTGCCTCTCTTCCTCCCACACACTGCCTCCCCCTTCCACCTACTGTCTCTTCCTCTCACCCACTGCCACTGCTTCCACTCACTGTCTCTCCTCTCCCACATACTTTCTCTCCCTTCCACCCTTCCACCTTTCTAACCCGCTTGCCTCTCTCACCGGCTACCTCGCTCTCACAGCCGCGGGGGTAAACGCGAGCATTAATCTCTTTCGCCGTGTATAGCTGTGAACACGCGTTGCGGCATTTGTAGCGCGTGTGTCACGGCGCGCTCGCGCAGGTGCGACAAGGGCACGGCGAGATAACAGCAGCCAACACTAAATCCTCGCTTACGCGCGCGGCCGCGACAGCAGCAGCAGCAGCAGCAGCAGCAGCAATACACCGGAGCAGGGATAAACCATCCTCTCTCTCTCTCTATGTGGGCCTCGTTTCCTGCTTATGCATGCATGCACGCGCGCGTGCGTGCGTGCCGCGCCATTGTTACGGTCGCCGCGCGCCGAGCAGGCTGTATCGTCAACGGCGCCGGCTCCTGCGGACGACCGCGGGAGAGTTCCCTCCCGAGTTACGAACATCGGTGTTCGAATACCGTCCGTGCGCGAGTCGATAGCTTGGAACTCGGAGCTCGATGGCTGGGTGCGTGCGTGCGTGCGTGCGCCTGGTGGGCCGTTCGTTGGTCGCCTTCATGAATATTAAAACAAATGATGACGCATCGTACGTAAGGCCGTAAATCTGATCCGGAGACGTACGGATGCGGATCCGGATCCGGAACGGTGCATGCCTAACTGTTTTCTCACACACTTCCCCTGCAGCCCGCATGCCTGCCTGCACATCCCTTCCGCCCGCCTGCCTGCCTACCCCTCCTGCCTGTCCGACCGCCTGCCTAGCTGCCTGTTTCTCCCGCCTGCCTGCCCGTCCCTCTCGCCAGTGTGTCTGCCTGCATGCCCGCCTAGTTTCCTGTCTGCCCCTCCTACCTATCTGCCTGCTTTTCAGTCTGTCTGCCATCCTGCCTGCCTGCCTGCCTAATATAACCCCCCTCCACCCACAACAACATGTAAACACTCGACCCATGTACCTTTATAACCCCTCACTGACCGACAAAAACACGTAAACACTCCACATGTAAACACTTATCACCCATTTACGTATGTAACCCGCATCGACGTACAATAGCATGTAAACACTCACTACCGATGTAATGATCTATATACCCCACCTCTACCTACGACATGTAAACGCTCTACACCGTTCTACCTAACACCCACGCACACTCACCAGCACGCATGCTGACGACCGTATATAACCTTCGGCATCGCACATGAGTGCCGCACAGCCACTGACATTTAGAAAATTAACATCTACCTAATCTAGCTGTCACGCCTGAAGTGGCAAGCACGCACTGATTACAATAACATCTCCCAGTCTTCTCCTCTTTTCTCCTCCGACTCCATTGGTGACAATACCACCTCCCAGCCTCCTCCTTTTCCATCCACACTGATGTCAATAACACCTCACAACCTCTTCCCTCTCTTCCTCCTCATCCTCCTCCTCCATTCCAACTGATGACAATAACACCTTCCGCTTTCATCCTCTTAGTCCTTGTTCCCCATTCTCCCCCTTCTCCTCCGCCTCCATCTCCACTCTCATTGATGACAATAATATTATGACCTCTTCCTCGGCCTCCTGCTCCATATACCTCCTCTTCCTCGGCCTCCTGCTCCATCTACCTCCTCTTCCTCGGCCTCCTACTCCATCTACCTCCTCTTCCCTCTCCTCATCCTCCTCTTCTTCTTCCTCGTCATGCACCTCCTCCTCTACTACGTGTGGGTGTGCGTTGTTGATGCAATAAATTATATTACGTGATGAGCGCGTGGGTGTGTGCGCTTATGAACACCTGCTAGGCTGTCATACGCAGTTCTATTGCTTCAGATCCGCCTGTGTATGCATACGAGTGTGCGATCGCGTGTCACTCCATGCAACATAAACACCTGCCGACTCGTACATACGCACACAACTGGAACACAGACGTTCACATGAACGTACTACATAACATGGCAACATGTTTTGACAATCGCAAACATATCACATCATCATGAATATCAGAATTCCTATATACGAACAGCCGGATTTACGCACATCCGGATTTATATATCAAATTAAATATATAATAGAGAATTCATGATGATGTCATATGTTTGCGATTGTCAAAACATGTTGATGTTATGTAGTCAGCTTATGAGAATCATATATATATATATATATATATATGCACCCGCGCATGCACACA